TATAGAAATAAAATTAGAAATTGTCAAAATCATAGTATAACTTAAAAAAAAGAAAAAAAAAAGAACAACATTAAAACCTTGGAATTGTAAACTTTTTAGACTAACACTCAAAAAGGCCAAAATGCTTCGAAAATAAACGACAGAATATTACATAAACCATATAAAAGAAAAAGAAATAAACCAAAATAAACCAACAGTGGTCGAAATGTTTCGAATCGACAGAATGTTACATAATCCATATATAAAAAAAAAAATAACCCAACAATAAATCAAGACTTATCATCTGCAGAAATTTGGTCACCATTAGATGAAAATTCTTCAATAAATTCTTTATTTGAAATAGTAATAGCGACCTGTTGAACCTCAACTTGATACTGTAATTCGGTAACTTGAGAACGAAGATTATTAATTTCTTGAATAAAGGAGGAAAGCTGAGAACGGAGATTATTATTTTCCTGAATAACGAAGGAATTCTGATATTCTAAAAAAGCATTTCGAAGAGGATCCGATTGATGTTCTGTGCGTTCAGAGGACCCAAGACGAAAATTATGAATACCAGGTGCGGAAGGGTTATTGAAGGAAATGTTAGCAGAAGACCTAGAAGTCCTTCGTTGTCGTTGAGCCATAGTGACAGTTGTAATCGACCACTTAGCCAATCAGAGTTTACTCCGCAGTTGAGATCAATAAAGGTATAGATATCTGATATGTATGGTATGATACGTATGTATGGTATGATGACATATATGTGCGTACGTAGTGACCTAATTATAAATTTTATACATGTACGTGCATGCGAAAACAAACTTACTTCGCGTATCCTACGAGGCAAACGCTCAATTTATAAGAAAATATGAAAAAATAACCAAAAAACTGCGTACAGCATATCACTTCAAGCATGGAAAGGAAAATAATACGAAAAAACGTCAAAAAACCAAGTAAAAACACGCCGTCAACATGGCCGCGTTCACTGTTTCGGAGCAAGTCTAGGGTAAGACGGCTGCATAATATGCGTACAGCTTTCAAATTTGGAAAATTGATAACCAGTATTACCATGAATTTACTTATTTTATTCAAGATGAATTTTACGGACTTTGTTCTCCGAATGTTTTGTCATGTTTGCAACCAATGTCACGTGATAATCGAATATGATAGGGTTAATGCATATATTAGGGGTTAGAGTATACGTACGTACGTGTCACGAAAGTTACAATCTTGCATGTATTTCTACGTAAATTTTGTCATGTAATTTTACGACAGTTTGAAACCAGTGTTTAAAATTCAAAAAAAAAATCACTTGCACAAATGCATTTTGTGCAACTTTTTTTAAAAATTTTACTTACACACTTAAGAGATTGTTAAAAAATCTAAAAAAATCCAAAAAAACTCTTGCACATGTGCATCTTGTGCAAGCCAATTTTAAACACTGGGTGAAATCCGCTACGTAGATCATATGAGGGTGAAATTCGCTTTTGCTTATAAAAAACATAGCTAAGCGCGAACGTGATCTGCGTAGCCAGTCCTGTAATTTTTATCATGTTTTTTATATAGAATACCGGCTTTACAAAAGTTTTAATGTTGTTCTTTTTTTTTTCTTTTTTTTAAGTTATACTATGATTTTGACAATTTCTAATTTTATTTCTATA